AGAAATCGTCTATCACAACGAGACAATACGAATTGCGATTGATGCTGAGAACGTTGACCGGACCAAATAGATCCATGTGCAACAATTGTAGAACCTGATTGATGGAGTTGACCTACTTTGGCAGATGTGGTTTCCGATGATGTTTGCCTTGAGTACAAGAAACACACTTTTCAAAAGTAATGAAATCTCTGACAGGTAGACCGTGGACCATTTCGTTCTTGGCAAGACGGTTCAGATTCTTTACGTTTGCATGGCCTAGTCGACGATGCCACAGCATTGCATTGAGTTCAGAGACCTTGGAAAAGAGACAAGTGACTTCATTGGGTATATTACTGTTCATGTCGATGATGTAGGCATTCCCATCTCGCTTAGATTTTACAAGAATCCACTCTTCCGGAATGACAATGCCTGGCTTTAGGATTAGACATTCTTTATTAGTGAAGTGTGTAGAGTAACCCTTGTCACATTTGAGAGAAACTCAGCAGACTATGCTTCAATTCAGGAGCATAGTTGACATTTTCAAAACTAAGCAATCCGTTGGTCACCTTTCCTTTTTGCGTGATTTTTCCACCCTCTCCACCTGCAAAGGAGACATATCCCCCATTGAATGTCTGAACGTCGCGTAGTTGGGAGATATCTCCAGTCATGTGTCGGGAGTAGCCGCTGTCAACATACCACGGTCTGATGACATTCCTCCGCAATTGTCCCTGCACGTTGAGTGAAATTATTCAGATTTGGGAATCCAGGTCATTACAGTCCTGGATTGACCCTTGACTTTCACAGACTTTGTTTTTGAATTTTCTTTTGATTTTTCTTCTTCAACAAATACAGAAGATGATGATGACTGATCAGATTTTAATTTTGGCATCCATTGATATTTAGGTTTCAAAACAACTTTCTTATCAGTTTGCTTTGAGCAGGTGGTTTTTGAAGTTTTTGAAGATGCAGACCTACTCGTTGATGAAATCGACTTTTGCTTAGCTTGGGTCGATTTTGGCAAACTGTTTGGAAATTTATTAAAAACCTGTTTTGTCTTATGAAAAACTGCCATTTTCTTAGTTGAATTTGTTTTCCAGTCATCATCTCGAGAGTGACATCTGGAGGATTTTCTAGTTAAAGATCGTCCCCTAGATTCATTCTCTTTTCTTGGTGACAAATGATGCACAAACATTCGATTCAAACAGTTTCTGGCTATATGACCAGAAGTACCACAATTGAAGCAAATTTGTTTATTTTCAGTTGATTGAGTGTTGCTTTTGTCAGATTTTTGGCTCTTAAAATCTTTTCTAGCATTTTTACACTTGTAAGAACAAACACTAGATTGAGTAGCAGACGTAGAAGATGCAGAGGATGTAGGAGCACTTGAATCAGATTTATTATCTTTATCAGAAACAACACCATTATTTTCAAAAGTACTTGTCTGAAACATCACACCACCAGAAACAAACACATCAGATTTAGAGTTTAATACAGACTCATCACAAAATTCAACACCAAATTTTGACACATAATTATTTGACTCAGACTTTTCAGCTTCCTGCTCTCCCTGAACTATTGACACATCTGCACTTAAGGTAGAAATGTTAGTATTCACATCTTTATCACTTGGCCCTGTTGCTTGTTCAGCAGCTGGTTTTCCATAAACCATGAAGGGCTCTCTGTCAATTTCTTCTTTGGTAAGAGGAATAACATTATAAGTATGATTGAATGGGGGAGGGACACTCTCAAAACCTAAACCTACTTTCTTCTTATTTCCACATGTAATGTCTTTCCACTGCATCTGTTCCTGTATCATTTTTGCAACAATTTCACTTGACCCATTGAATTTTTTAAAGTTAAATTCAGCATTTTCAAAACGATTCTTCAATAGGTCAAGTTCAATGTTTGCAGCGGCAAGTTTTCCTTTGATATGATCATAGATTCCGCACTTATTACTAATTTTTTAAAATATTTTATTTTATTTTCTAACTGGGTTTTCAAAGGCTTTTGACCCTTTCTTAGTGTATAACCCTCATACCTAAGGTCCTCATTTTCTCTCTTGAGTAAATCAATTTGGTCTCGCAAAAATTTAATAGTTTTAGCACAAGATTGAGAGCAACCTAATTCACTGACCTCAGGTTTGGCAGATTCTGGAGTGGTTTGCACCATGAACGCAAATTGAAGATTCATCATTTCTTCTTCAGGGTCTTTCTCTGCTTCCTTCTTCTCACCATCCTTAAGTTGAGCAAGATGAGTATTTTCAGGTCCTGAAATGTTCAGAGCCTGAATCTGATCTTCCCAGTCGAAGGATTGAGCCACCATAGCTAAGTTAGCAGTCTGATTGTTTGGCTTTGGATATTCCCGAGCAAAATGACCTGGTTCATGGCAATTGAAACAACGCAGTCTCCCTTTATTAAAGCCCACTTTCTTGTCAGTGTTAACACTCCAGTTATTTTTCCCAGTTTTCTTGGAGAATTGCTTTGCCCTAAACATAGCCATGGCCATTTGCCAAGTGATATCCATCTCTTCCACATCCTCCGGATGAATCTTGTTCAATTCAGAAAAAGATAGTTGTGGGGTAAGCTCTCCGGCCATGAATGCGTTGTAGCAGTTTACCAAACCAGCAATGAGAGCTACATTTTCTTCCTTTTCTTGTGAAACTTGAGGACTGATTCCATGAGACTGAATGGGTGCAACTGAGGATGAACTGACATTTGAAACAACTTGTTGAGGTGAAACTTGAGATTGAGGAACTTGAATGTGTTGTATTGCAGGGATAACATGTGAAGTAGGCTGATGAGTCACATAGGGTTGAGTCACATAAGGTTGAACTTGTGGAACATGAGAAACTGGTGGAGCAGAAAAACTTGAGAAAGCAGTGTTGTTGGTAGCTTGAATTCCAAGATTTGCTGTGGAGTAGGAATTGACATGATTGATCTCTCTTTGCTTGTTATCAAGATCACAAGCCTTAATGATTGCCATTGTTTCTGCCAAAGTTAACCTGTTCAAATCTTTGGTTCTTTTGATCATCAAAACATCCGTATCCCAAGATTTTGGTAGAGAGTTTAGCAATATCTTGTTAATCTCAGATCTTGACACCATAACACCGGCAGAGCTCATTTCTGTAGTGAGAGTAATAAACCTTTGCAGCTGAGTTTCAAGAGTTTCTCCTAGAACATGATTAAACAAATTAAACTTTTGTCGCAACATGTCTTGGCGACTCTGCTTCATGTCTTCATTTCCCTCATAGACTTCGATCAATGCTTCCCATAGGGCCTTTGCTGATGTATACTCACAAAAACCTTGAGCAATTTCCGGAGACAATGCCATGGTAAGTGTGGCTAGGGCCTTCTCCTGTTCTTCGACTTTCTCAAAATCATCGTCCGTGTAGTTTTCAACCAGCTTGTCAATTACAGTGCCATCTTCCAATTGGGTTGTGATAAGAATTGGTCCTCTTAGAATGCTTCGCCATATCTTGAAATCCTTCATTTTGATGTATTTCTCGATCCGATATTTCCATTCAGGAAATCCTTCTGCAGATAACAATCGGGGAATACGAGAAGTAGTTCCCATGATTACATCCAATTCATGATGAGATGACATGCTTTGAGATTCCATTTTTATGATTTTCTGAACTATGAAGGGTTTTCGGTTTATGGATAATACGGGGTTTTTGGTTAAGAATGGGTTTTCGGTTTAGGAGAGGTTTTCGGTTGAGACTATGTTTTCGGTTTAGGAGAGATTTTCAGTTGAAACTAGGTTTTCGATTTAGGAGAGGTTTTCGGTTGAGACTAGGTTACAGACACACACCGAGAATATCTAAAATGGCTTTCAAATGAATTGGATCTTTTGAGAATGGTTTTCGGTTTGTGAAGATACAACCGAAAACAAAACAGACTCAACAAAAACTGGATATCCTCGCACAGATCTGATTCCACAAGATGCGAATTACAACCTGATCTTCAAATTCCAAGCAAAACAATCTTCTAAGACCGAGAACTTTGATGATCACAAGCTGGAAACCAAAAATTTAAGAAGCACACTTGATTGACAATGGATTTGCTCTGATACCAATTGTTAGTCCCTAAAATCTGTAGGATCTAAGCCAATGATCAATCAAGCATACCAAATCAAACAAGAAATGGAGTAGAAGATGAATCAAACTTGATCTTGCATACAATTCAAACTTAGAACTGTCAGATACAACTCAATGGACCGAAAACTATCTTTTCATCAACAACAAACTAAATGACACCTGACACACTATTTATACTAACCTGGACCGAAAACAGTTTTCGGTCAGGCAGAACGAAAACTGGTTTTCGGTCACTCCATATGTCTAGACCGAAAACCTCAAATAAACACAAAAGACTCCAAAATACATTGTCAAAAGCCCTAATTCATCTATACATGGATGCCTAGCCCAAACCATAAATAATGGCCCTTCACATCGCTCGACAACAGCATAGGAAAAAAAAGGCGAGGTAGGGTGGAGAAGGGAAGAACGAACTGATAAAAGAGGGGGGGGGGAAGAAGGGTCTACAAGTGTCGATTCTTGAAGGTGTGTTGAGGCTGCGAAATCGACTCATACAATCCGGTAGTTCCTTGCTTCAACTCATCTTTTGATTTCATGTTTCAATTGCTAGTGATTGGATTCAAGCAATCTCATTCTTCTTACTTCCAATCCTTGATATGTTATGTGATTAATCCCCAGCCACGTTTTGTGTGTTTTTGATGGGTGATGGTTGTCAAAATATAGTTAAGAACACTCTCATATATGTGGTAATTGGTGAGTAAGGATTGGTTAGAATTGTACAATAATTGTCTTTCTATTTTCTCTTTGGTATCTTCGTTCATGATTTCTTTTCCTCCGATTCTCATAGATTCTTGTGTGATGTTTTTCTATAAAAAGACCATGTTTTGAACCCACCAAAAGGTCTTCAAAACAGTCCTTTAAGGTTTCATATGTGGCTTAATGGTAAAGGAAACTCAAGCCCTTAATGGTGTTTTTTCGTTTAGCAATGTTTGAATCTGCAAGAAGTATTATGAGTTGGCTTGGTGATTGTGAAAAGGTATAAATTTTATATTTTTATAAGATAAGATTAATACGTTTATTGATTTTATAAATTTTGACAGGTTATAGCAGTGAAAAATAATCCAGTACAATGGACAACTCCTCTTGGACTTCCTGTTGTTCAACCATACAACAAATTCGGAAGACATCTTGTGAGTTATTTTAGTATGTCAAATTGTCAAGTAAAGTCCCTGTATTTTGGCTTTTTTGCTAATATGAACCAGGACTTTTTTGTTGTTTTTTTGAAATGTGTAGATTATGACATATCTTCAAGTTTTGACACTAAAACGAGAAACCGATAAGGTTATACCTGCAACCTTTTCTTTATTACGCTAAATGCAAGAAAAATAACTTTTTTTTGTTATAAAAGGTAATGGTGAAAAGACAAAGAACAGCCTTTCCTCCTCACTTTGTCCACTCTCTTGATGGGTCCCACATGGTGATGACAGCCGTTGCTTGTAGAGAGGCTGGCTTAAGTTTTGCAGGTTCAAAATCATTATTATTTCATATATTTTATTTCTCCATTTTTTTCCATTAAAAATATATAAATTAAAATCCCATTTCAAATCTGCTTGATTCAGCTATGAAAAACCCTAATTCTACTCTCCTTAGAAGTAAATGGAGTCCTATTCCAATACCCCATAGAACTATCCTTGAACCCAAAGGTCAAGATCTTGATTACATCAACATAGCTCACAGTTATCTTCTTCACTCTGATTGGGCTAAGCTAGATAAATTATTAACAAAATCTAATTCATTACGAGTGAAGCACATTCCGTTAAAGCTTCAAAACGGCTACGTCATTTCCCTAAAATTCTTCAAATGGATTGAGCTTCACAACCCTAGTTTACTCACCCTCGAAAGAAATTCCATCATCATCCACATCCTCACCAAGAATCGTAAATTTGTGTCAGCTGAATCCATTTTAAAGAAGATCATCGGTTCTTGTTCTTGTGATGTAAACCTCCATTCTAAGCTCTTCGATGCTGTTCTTCACTCTTATCGAATGTGTGATTCCACTCCTCGTGTTTTCGATGCCCTTTTCAAAATGTATGCATAGATGAAGCAGTTCAGGAATGCAACAGATATATATTGTCGTCTGAAGGAATACAGATTTCTTCCCACCATTGAATCATGTAACATGTATATGAGTTCACTGCTTAGTTTCAATCGAGAAAACATCGCGTTACCATTTTACAACCAAATGAGAAGATCCAAGATCACAATCAATGTGTTCACTCTCAAGATGGTAATGAATGCTTATGTTCAATTAGGGAAACTAGAGAATGCAGTCCAAGTGTTCGATGAAATGCAAGGTATGGGAATGAACCCTTTTGTCTCCTCCTATAATACATTGATCACTGGATACATCAACCAAGGCCTTTTAACAACCGCAATCAAGTTGAAACGTACAATGGAGAAGAATGGAATTAGCCCAAATTCCATAACTTACAACACAAAAATCCATGGATTATGTATGTAAAGAAGGGAAACTACATGATGCTTTTAAAGTTTTCCATGAAATGAAAAGGGTAAATGTGGATCCTAATACTGTAACTTACAACACTCTAATCACTGCATGTTCCCAATAAGGTAAAATCGAAAAGGGTAATCAGATTTTTGAAGAAATGATAAGAACCGGGGTCAAACCTGATATTTTGACATATAACGCATTGTTGTTGGGACTTTGTAATGAAGGAAAAACCAAGAAAGCTACTGATTTGGTTAAAGAACTTGATAAAAAAGAAATTATTACCAAATTCTTCAACATTTTCTGCCCTAATTAAAGCCCAATGTGCTCGAAAGAACCCAGATCGTGGTTTTCAACTTTATAAAAGCATGGTGAAAAGTAATTATCGTCCAAATGAAGATACTGTGAAGATGTTAATTTTATCATTCTTGCAAACGGATGATTATGATGGTGCTTTTGGTGTTTTTAAAGAGATGTTAGAGAGGCCTATTGGGCCTGATTTGGTTATTTTGAGTGGGTTGTGTAAAGGGTTTTCAAAAGCTTGGAAAGATAGATTGCTTATGGATCTATTAAGCGAGGTTGATAATAGGTGTTTTAGTTATGAGAAAGTTAAAAGCATTATTTGTGACTCTAACATTGAAGGTAAAGAACTTGAAGAAAATGTGCAAGTTGATTTATTTAATCATGACAAAAATGAATCCGAATACAGAATGTGTGTGGGCGCAAATAATGCGTTATACTTCGTAATGTATATTCAATAAAGCTTTAAAAGTTTTTCACGTATATCGAATTAAACTTTGATATTTGTGCTATCTATATCTATACTTCTATACATCTTTATCTATATACATATCTATACATCTATACAATTATATAAAGCATATTGCTTCTTTCTTGAATTTTTAAGAGGCATAAGTTTCACTTCTTAATGTACACATCAACTTTGTATATAAACTACTATGTGGCCATGATCCTTAAACTAATCACCCCAATCTATATAGCTTGCTAAGCTGAACTCTATAAATAGTTTTGAAGTGGCAGAAATAAAGATTTTGTAAGTAGCAATTGACTTTATTATTATTTTATTTTCAAAAGTTTATGTTTATATTCTACCATATACACAAATTACAATGCTATTTATGGTTACGTCTGTTTTAGATACGAAAGAGGAATGGGTCGTGAAGGTTGTGCAATCATGGTTGTAGTTTTCTTTGTCTTGGTAAATTTGTACTCTATATATTAAAGATAATAATATTTTGCAAATTTTAGTTTTATTTCACAATAAATTATTAGTTTTATCGAAATTGGTAGTTATTACTTGTATAATCTTGATTTATAAAGTATATGTGTTGTTTTATTTAGATCACACCTCATTTTGAACACATATGTGTTCTTTTATTTATATGTGTTATTGTGAGGAGGTTTAAAAATTATATTAGTTGATTATTTGAGACTTGAGAGCTCTTAGCTGTTGAGGATATTGATAGTTAAGGAATTAATAACTTCAATTTGGTAATCTTTCATGCATTTCGTTCATAGGAAATTGAATAATTGAATGTAATCTAATTTGTTCAATGTTTCTAATTATATAAAATTACGTATTTTATATTGTTTGGGTAGATGGACTTCCATTTACCCTTTCATTTTATTGATTTAGAAGAAATTTTGGGTTAGAAATTAAATATTAAATATCTTTGATCTTTTTTTTTGAAACAACAATGAAATCTTTGTTATGTTTGGATTGATTGTGATAAATAAATAATAAGATTAGAATTTATTAATAGATAAAAGATATAACATCTTAATTACTTTTCATTTTTAATTATTTTTTTCTCAAAGAAAAAAAAATAATAAGTTAAATATTTTTTGGAACACCTTCGTTAATTTTTGTTAAAATAGTCAATTTAAGCTTTATAAAAATAAATGATATCTATCGATGGGTAGAGATCCTTACACGGTAACTTTTCCTTATAGACAAACTATTTATGTTTTATTAAGTTGTGCAATACAAATATTTAAAACGTAAATACCTATATTTAAAACATAAATAGTTATATACAAATCACTCTTTATCTATCCTTTATATATCTTTTTAGCTGGTTAGTGGTAATTTTTTTTTTATAATGTGTTATCGACTTTTCATTCAACTGATTTCAACATACAACTTAATACAAATGCACAATAATAACTATTAGTTATCAGCGTTTTTATCTAAATGACTAATGTCTAAGAATAAAAAAAGTTAAAGCGTTATATAAATTGAAATTGAAGTATAAATATAATGTACATATAAAAATCGATATTCGAAATAATGACTACTATTAATTTATATGATTTTTGAAAAACTGACTATCATTTTTATTAACTTAGAAAATAATTTCAAAAGCATAAACCACAAAAAATATTTTTTTTAAAAAATAAGTAGATTATTTTTAATCGTTTATACTTTCCTATTTTTTATAATTTCAAAATACGAGTCATTTTTTTATTCTCTTATCATGGGTCAGAAGACTATAATAGGTTTTCTGTCAACATTATTTTCATTGTCAAATTGAGCACCCCTAAATATAAAACAATAGTATATAATATGTGAAGTAATGAAGGGGGCTAAATTGGCATTAAAAGAAACTTAATTTGTGAAGGTATCTAAGGTTATGAAAGATTGGATAAAGAAATCCTTAATAACCCCCCAACAAGAAAAAGTTCAAAGCCTAGGACCAAATTCGCATTACAAGAAGCTTAATTTGTGAAGATACGTCCAAAAGTTTTTTTGCGACTGTTCTAGCCTTTACGCACGGATTAATGGAGTAATCTCAAAATCGATCCGTTGCATCGCTCGACAGCAGCATAGGAAAAAAAAAGGCGAGGTAGGGTGGAGAAGGGAAGAACGAACTGAGAAGAGTAGGGGGAAAGAAGGGTCTGCAAGTGTCGATTCTTGAAGGTGTGTTGAGGCTGCGAAATCGACTCATACAATCCAGTAGTTCCTTGCTTTAACTCGTCTTTTGATTTCATGTTTCAATTGCTAGTGATTAGATTCAAGCAATCTCATTCTTCTTACTTCCAATCCTTGATATGTTATGTGATTAAGCCCCAGCCACGTTTTGTGTGTTTTTGATGGGTGATGGCTGTCAAAATATAGTTAAGAACACTCTCATATATGTGGTAATTGGTGAGTAAGGATTGGTTAGAATTATAGAATAATTGTCTTTCTATTTTCTCTTTGGTATCTTCGTTCATTATTTCTTTTGTTCCAATTTTGATAGATTCTTGTGTGATGTTTTTTGCTATAAAAAGACCATGTTTTGAACCCTCCAAAAGGTCTTCAAATCAGTCCTTTAAGTTTTCATATGTGGCTTAATGGTGGAGGAAACTCAAGCCCTTAATGGTGTTTTTTCTTTTAGCAATGTTTGAATCTGCAAGAAGTATTATTAGTTGGCTTGGTGATTGTGCAAAGGTATAAGTTTTATATTTTTATAAGATAAGATTAATACGTTTATTGATTTTATAAATCTTGACAGATTATAGTAGTGAAAAACAATCCAGTACAATAGACAACTCCTCTTGGACTTCCTGTTGTTCAACCATACCGCAAATTAGGAAGACATATTGTGAGTTCTTTTAGTATGTCAAATTTTCAAGTAAAGTCCCTGTATTTTGGCTTTTTTGCTAATATGAACCAACACTTTTTTGTTTTTTTTTTGAAATGTGTAGATTAAGACATCTCTTCAAGTTTTGACACTACAACGAGAAACGGGTAAGGTTATATCTGCAACCTTTTCTTTATAATGCTAAATGAAAGAAAAATACCTTTTTTTTAGGTTATAAAAGGTGATGGTGAAAAGGCAAAGAACAGCCTTTCCTCCTAACTTTCTCCACTCTCTTGATGGGTCCCACATGATGATGACAGCCATTGCTTGTAAAGAGGCTGGCTTAAGTTTTGCAGGTTCAAAATCATTATTATTTCATATATTTTATTTCTCCGTTTTTTTTTCCATTAAAAATATATAAATTAAAATCCCATTTCAACTCCGCTTGATTCAGCCATGAAAAACCCTAATTCTACTCTCCTTAGAAGTAAATGGACTCCTATTCCAATACCCCATAGAACTATCCTTGAACCCCAAGGTCAAGATCTTGATTACATCAACATAGCTCACAGTCATCTTCTTCACTATGATTGGGCTAAGCTAGATAAATTATTAACCAAATCTAATTCCTTACGAGTGAAGCACTTTCTGTTAAAGCTTCAAAACGACTACGTCATTTCCCTAAAATTATTCAAATGGATTGAGCTTCACAACCCTAGTTTACTCACCCTCGAAACAAATTCCATCATCCTTGACATCCTCACCAAGAATCGTAAATTTGTGTCAGCTGAATCCATTTTAAAAAAGATCATCGGTTCTTGTTCTTGTGATGTAAACCACCATTCTAAGCTCTTCGATGCTGTTATTCACTCTTATCGAATGTGCGATTCCACACCTCGTGTGTTCGATGCCCTTTTCAAAATGTATGCACAGATGAAGTAGTTCAGGAATGCAACAGATACATTTTGTCGTATGAAGGAATACAGATTTCTTCCCACCATTGAATCATGTAACATGTATATGAGTTCAATGCTTAGTTTCAATCGAGCAGACATCGCGTTACCATTTTACAACCAAATTTAGAAGATCCACGATCACAATCAATGTGTTCACTCTCAACATGGTGATGAATGCTTATGTTCAATTAGGGAAACTAGAGAATGCAGTCCAAGTGTTCGATGAAATGCAAGGTATGGGAATGAACCCTTTTGTCTCCTCAAACAATACATTGATCAATGCATACCTCAACCAAGGCCTTTTAACAACCACAATCAAGTTGAAACTTACAATGGAGAAGAATGGCAGCCCAAATGCCATAACTTACAACACAATAATCCATGGATTCTGTTAAGAACGGAAACTACATGATGCTTTTAAAGTTTTCCATGAAATGAAAAGGGTAAATGTGGATCCTAATACTGTAACTTACAACACATTAATCACTGCATGTTCCCAATCAGGTAAAATCGAAAAGGGTAATCAGATTTTTGAAGAAATGATATGAACCGGGGTCAAACCTGATATTTTGACTTATAACGCATTGTTTTTGGGACTTTGTAACGAAGGAAAAACGAAGAAAGCTGCTTATTTGGTTAAAGAACTTGATAAAAAGAAATTAGTACCAAATTCTTCAACATTTCTGCCCTAATTAAGGCCCAATGTGCTCGAAAGAAACTAGATCGTGGTTTTCAACTTTATAAAAGCATGGTGAAAAGTAAATGTCGTCCAAATGAAGATACTGGGAAGATGTTGATTTTATCATTCTTGCAAACGGATGATTATGATGGTGCTTTTGGTGTTTTTAAAGAGATGTTAGAGAGGCCTATTTGGCGTGATTTGGTTGTTTTGAGTGGGTTGTGTATAGGGTTTTCAAAAGCTTGGAAAGATAGATTGGTTATGGATCTATTAAGCGAGGTTGATAATGGGTGTTTTAGTTATGAACTTTATAAGAAAGTTAAAAGCATTATTTGTGACTCTAACAATGAAGGTAAAGAACTTGAAGAAAATGTGTAAGTTGATTTATTTAATCATGACAAAAATGAATCTGAATACAGAATGTGTGTGGGAGCAAATAATGCGTTATACTTCGTAATGTATATTCAATAAAGCTTTAAAAGTTTTTGATGTATATCGAATTAAACTTTGATATTTGTGCTATCTATATCTATACTTCTATATATCTATATCTATATCTATATCTATACATCTATACAATTATATAAAGCATATTGCTTCTTTCTTGTATTTTTAAGAGGAATAAGTTTCACTTCTTAATGTACACATCAACTTTGTATCTAAACTACTATGTGGCCATGATCCTTAAAGTAATCACTCCAATCTATATAGCTTGCTAAGCTTAACTCTATAAATAGTTTAGAAGTAGCTGAAATAAAGATTGTGTAAGTAGCAATTGACTTTTTATTATTTTATTTTCAAAAGTTTATGTTTATATTCTACTATATATACAAAGTACAATGCTATTTATGGTTACGTCTGTTTAAGATACGACAGAGGAATGGGTCGTGAAGGTTGTGCAATCATGGTTGTAGTTTTCTTGGTCTTGATAGATTTGTACTCTATATATTAAAGATAATAATATTTTGCAAATTTTAGTTTTATTTCACAATAAATTATTAGTTTTATCGAAATTGGTAGTTATTACTTGTATAATCCTGATGTATAAAGTATATGTGTTGTTTTATTTGGATCACACCCTAGTTTGAACACATATGTGTTCTTTTATTTATATGTGTTATTGTGAGGAGGTTTAAAAATTATATTAGTTGATTATTTGAGACTTGAGAGCTCTTAGCTTTTGAGGATATTGATAGTTAAAGAATTAGTAACTTCAATGTTATAATCTTTCATGCATTTGGTTCATAGGAAATTGAATAATTGAATGTAATTTACGTTGTCCAATGTTTCTAACTATATAAAATTACGTATTTTATTTTGTTTGGGTAGATGGACTTCCGTTTATCCTTTCATTTTATTGATTTAGAAGAAATGTTGGCTTAGAAATTAAATATTAAATATCTTTGATCTTTTTTTTGAAACAACAATGAAATCTTTGTTGATGTTTGGATTGATTGTGATAAATAAATAATAAGATTAGAATTTATTAATAGATAAAAGATATAGCATCTTAATTACTTATCATTTTTAATTATTTTTTTTGTCAAAGAAAAAATAAATAATAAGTTAAATATTTTGTGGTATCACCTTTGTTAATTTTATTAAAATAGTCAATTTAAGCTTTATAAAAATAAATGATATCTATTGATGGGTAGAGATCCTTACATGGTAACTTTTCCTTATAGACAAACTATTTATGTTTTATTAAGTTGTGCAATACAAATATTTAAAACGTAAATACCAATATTTATAACATAAATAGTTATATACAAATCACTCTTTATCTATCGTTTATATATCTTTTTAGCTCGTTAGTGGTAATTTTTTCTTTTGTAATGTGTTATCGACTTTTCATTCAACTGATTTCAACATACAACTTAATACAAATGCACAATAATAACTATTAGTTATCAACGTGTTTATCAAAAATGACGAATGTCTAAGAATAAAAAAACTTAAAGCGTTATATAAATTGAAATTGAAGTATAAATATAATGTACATATAAAAATCGATATTCACAATAATAACTACTTTTAATTTATATGATTTTTGAAAAACTGACTATCATTTTTATTAACTTAGAAAATAATTTCAAAAGCATAAACCACAAAAAATATTTTTTTTAAAAAATAAGTAGATTATTTTTAATCGTTTGTACTTTCCTATTTTTTATAATTTCAAAATACGAGTCATTTTTTTATTCTCTTATCATGGGTCAGAAGACTATAATAGGTTTTCTGTCAACATTATTTTTATTATCAAATTGAGCACCCCTAAATATAAAACAATAGTATGTAATTTGTGAAGTAATAAAGGGGGCTAAATTGTCATTAAAAGAAACTTAATTTGTGAAGGTATCTAAGGTTAGGAAAGATAGGATAAAGTTCAATGTCTAGGGACTAATCCTTAAAAATTCGTCCAAAACCCCCCAACAAGAAAAAGATCAAAGCCTAGGACCAAATTGGCATTACAAGAAAGTTAATTTGTGAAGATACCTCCAAAAAAAAATTTTGCAACTGTTCTAGCCTTTACGCACGGATTAATGGAGTAATCTCAAAATCAATCCTTTGCATCGCTCGACAGCAGCATAGGAAAAAAAAGGCGAGGTAGGGTGGAGAAGGGAAGAACGAACTGAGAAGAGAGGGGGGAAAGAAGGGTCTGCAAGTGTCGATTCTTGAAGGTGTGTTGAGGCTGCAAAATCAACTCATACAATCCGGTGGTTCCTTGCTTTAACTCGTCTTTTGATTTCATGTATCAATTGCTAGTGATTGGATTCAAGCAATCTCATTCTTCTTAGTTCCAATCCTTGATATGTTATGTGATTAATCCCCAGCCACGTTTTGTGTGTTTTTGATGGGTGATGGCTGTCAAAATATAGTTAAGAACACTCTCATATATGTGGTAATTGGTGAGTAAGGAATGGTTAGAATTGTAGAATAATTGTCTTTCTATTTTCTCTTTGGTTTCTTCGTTCATTATTTCTTTTTCTCCAATTCTCATAGATTCTTGTGTGATGTTTTTCTATAAAAAGACCATGTTTTGAACCCTCCAAAAGGTCTTCAAATCAGTCCTTTAAGTTTTCATATGTGGCTAAGTGGTGGAGGAAACTCAAGCCCTTAATGGTGTTTTTCTTTTAGCAATGTTTGAATCTACAAGAAGTATTATTATTTGGCTTGGTGATTGTGCAAAGGTATAAGTTTTATATTTTTATAAGATAAGATTAATACATTTATTGATTTTATAAATTTTGACAGGTTATAGACAACTCCTCTTGGACTTGCTGGTGTTCAACCTTACTGCAAATTAGGAAGACATCTTGTGAGTTCTTTTGGTATGTCAAATTGTCAAGTAAAGTCCCTGTATTTTGGCTTTTTTGCTAATATGAACCAATACTTTGTTGTTGTTTTTTTGAAATGTGTAGATTAAGACATCTCTTCAAGTTTTGAGACTACAACGAGAAACGGATAAGGTTATATCTGCAACGTTTTCTTTATAATGCTAAATGAAAGAAAAATACCTTTTTTTTGTTATAAAAGGTGATGGTGAAAAGACAAAGAACAGCCTTTCCTCCTAACTTTGTCCACTCTCTTGATGGGTCCCACATGATGATGATAGCCAATGCTTGTAAAGAGGCTGGCTTAAGTTTTGCAGGTTCAAAATCATTATTATTTCATATATTTTATTTCTCCGTTTTTTTCCATTAAAAATATATAAATTAAAATCCCATTTCAACTCCGCTTGATTCAGCCATGAAAAACCCTAATTCTACTCTCCTTAGAAGTAAATGGAGTCCTATTGCAATACCCCATAGAACTATCCTTGAACCCCAAGGTCAAGATCTTGATTACATCAACATAGCTCACAATCATCTTCTTCACTCTGATTGGGCTAAGCTAGATAAATTATTAACCAAATCTAATTCATTACGAGTGAAGCACATTCTGTTAAAGCTTCAAAACGACTACGTCATTTCCCTAAAATTCTTCAAATGGATTGAGCTTCACAACCCTAGTTTACTCACCCTCGAAACAAATTCCATCATCCTTGACATCCTCACCAAGAATCGTAAATTTGTGTCAGCTGAATCCTTTTTAAAAAAGATCATCGGTTCTTGTTCTTGTGATGTAAACCACCATTCTAAGCTCTTCGATGTTGTTATTCACTCTTATCAAATGTGCGATTCCACACCTCGTGTGTTCGATGCCCTTTTCAAAATGTATGCACAGATGAAGTAGTTCAGGAATGCAACAGATACATTTTGTCGTATGAAGGAATACAGATTTCTTCCCACCATTGAATCATGTAACATGTATATGAGTTCACTGCTTAGTTTCAATCGAGCAGACATCGCGTTAACATTTTACAACCAAATAAGAACATCCAAGATCACAATCAATGTGTTCACTCTCAACATGATGATGAATGCTTATGTTCAATTAGGGAAACTAGAGAATGCAGTCCAAGTGTTCGATGAAATGCAAGGTATGGGAATGAACCCTTTTGTCTCCTCCAACAATACATTGATCAATGCATACATCAACCAAGGCCTTTTAACAACCACAATCAAGTTGAAACTTACAATGGAGAAGAATGGCAGCCCAAATGCCATAACTTACAACACAATAATCCATGGATTCTGTTAAGAACGGAAACTACATGATGCTTTTAAAGTTTTCCATGAAATGAAAAGGGTAAATGTGGACCCTAATACTGTAACTTACAACACATTAATCACTGCATGTTCCCAATCAGGTAAAATCGAAAAGGGTAATCTGGTAAAATTGGGACTTTGTAACGAAGGAAAAACCAAGAAAGCTGCGTATTTGGTTAAAGAACTTGATAAAAAGAAATTAGTACCAAATTCTTCAACATTTCTGCCCTAATTAAGGCCCAATGTGCTCGAAAGAAACTAGATCGTGGTTTTCAACTTTATAAAAGCATGGTGAAAAGTAAATGTCGTCCAAATGAAGATACTGTGAAGATGTTGATTTTATCATTCTTGCAAACGGATGATTATGATGGTGCTTTTGGTGTTTTTAAAGAGATGTTAGAGAGGCCTATTTGGCATGATTTGGTTGTTTTGAGTGGGTTGTGTACAGGGTTTTCAAAAGCTTGGAAAGATAGATTGGTTATGGATCTATTAAGCGGGGGTTGATAATGGGTGTTTTAGTTATGAACTTTATAAGAAAGTTAAAAGCATTATTTGTGACTCTAACAATGAAGGTAAAGAACTTGAAGAAAATGTGTAAGTTGATTTATTTAATCATGACAAAAATGAATCCGAATACAGAATGTGTGTGGGAGCAAATAATGCGTTATACTTCGTAATGTATATTCAATAAAGCTTTAAAAGTTTTTGATGTATATCGAATTATACTTTGATATTTGTGCTATCTATATCTATACTTCTATATATCTATATCTATATCTATATCTATACATCTATACAATTATATAAAGCATATTGCTTCTTTCTTGTATTTTTAAGAGGAATAAGTTTCACTTCTTAATGTACACATCAACTTTGTATCTAAACTACTATGTGGCCATGATCCTTAAAGTAATCACTCCAATCTATATAGCTTGCTAAGCTTAACTCTATAAATAGTTTAGAAGTAGCTGAAATAAAGATTGTGTAAGTAGCAATTGACTTTTTTATTATTTTATTTTCAAAAGTTTATGTTTATATTCTACTATATATACAAAGTACAATGCTATTTATGGTTACGTCTGTTTAAGATACGACAGAGGAATGGGTCGTGAAGGTTGTGCAATCATGGTTGTAGTTTTCTTGGTCTTGATAGATTTGTACTCTATATATTAAAGATAATAATATTTTGCAAATTTTAGTTTTATTTCACAATAAATTATTAGTTTTATCGAAATTGGTAGTTATTACTTGTATAATCCTGATGTATAAAGTATATGTGTTGTTTTATTTAGATCACACCCTAGTTTGAACACATATGTGTTCTTTTATTTATATGCGTTATTGTCAGGAGGTTTAAAAATTATATTAGTTGATTATTTGAGACTTGAGAGCTCTTAGCTTTTGAGGATATTGATAGTTAAAGAATTAGTAACTTCAATGTTATAATCTTTCATGCATTTGGTTCATAGGAAATTGAATAATTGAATGTAATTTACGTTGTCCAATGTTTCTAACTATATAAAATTACGTATTTTATTTTGTTTGGGTAGATGGACTTCCGTTTATCCTTTCATTTTATTGATTTAGAAGAAATGTTGGCTTAGAAATTAAATATTAAATATCTTTGATCTTTTTTTTGAAACAACAATGAAATCTTTGTTGATGTTTGGATTGATTGTGATAAATAAATAATAAGATTAGAATTTATTAATAGATAAAAGATATAGCATCTTAATTACTTATCATTTTTAATTATTTTTTTGTCAAAGAAAAAAAAATAATAAGTTAAATATTTTGTGGAACACCTTTGTTAATTTTATTAAAATAGTCAATTTAAGCTTTATAAAAATAAATGATATCTATTGATGGGTAGAGATCCTTACATGGTAACTTTTCCTTATATACAAACTATTTATGTTTTATTAAGTTGTGCAATACAAATATTTAAAACGTAAATACCAATATTTGTAACATAAATAGTTATATACAAATCACTCTTTATCTATCGTTTATATATCTTTTTAGCTGGTTGGTGGTAATTTTTTCTTTTGTAATGTGTTATCGACTTTTCATTCAACTGATTTCAACATACAACTTAATACAAATGCACAATAATAACTATTAGTTATCAACGTGTTTATCAAAATGACGAATGTCTAAGAATAAAAAAACTTAAAGCGTTATATAAATTGAAATTGAAGTATAAATATAATGTACATATAAAAATCGATATTCACAATAATGACTACTTTTAATTTATATGATTTTTGAAAAACTGACTATCATTTTTATTAACTTAGAAAATAATTTCAAAAGCATAAACCACAAAAAATATTTTTTTAAAAAAAATAAGTAGATTATTTTTAATCGTTTATACTTTCCTAGTTTTTATAATTTCAAAATACAAGTCATTTTTTTATTCTCTTATCATGGGTCAGAAGACTATAATAGGTTTTCTGTCAACATTATTTTTATTATCAAATTGAGCACCCCTAAATATAAAACAATAGTATGTAATTTGTGAAGTAATAAAGGGGGCTAAATTGGCATTAAAAGAAACTTAATTTGTGAAGGTATCTAAGGTTAGGAAAGATAGGATAAAGTTCAATGTCTAGGGACTAATCCTTAAAAATTCGTCCAAAACCCCCCAATAAGAAAAAGATCAAAGCCTAGGACCAAATTGGCATTACAAGAAAGTTAATTTGTGAAGATACCTCCAAAAAAAATTTTGCAACTATTCTAGCCTTTACGCACGGATTAATGGAGTAATCTCAAAATCAATCCTTTGCATCGCTCGACAGCAGCATAGGAAAAAAAAAGGCGAGGTAGGGTGGAGAAGGGAAGAACGAACTGAGAAGAGAGGGGGGAAAGAAGGGTCTGCAAGTGTCGATTCTTGAAGGTGTGTTGAGGCTGCAAAATCAACTCAAACAATCCGGTGGTTCCTTGCTTTAACTCGTGTTTTGATTTCATGTATCAATTGCTAGTGATTCGATTCAAGCAATCTCATTCTTCTTAGTTCCAATCCTTGATATGTTATGTGATTAATCCCCAGCCACGTTTTGTGTGTTTTTGATGGGTGATGGCTGTCAAAATATAGTTAAGAACACTCTCATATATGTGGTAATCGGTGAGTAAGGAATGGTTAGAATTGTAGAATAATTGTCTTTCTATTTTCTCTTTGGTTTCTTCATTCATTATTTCTTTTGCTCCAATTCTCATAGATTCTTGTGTGATGTTTTTCTATAAAAAGACCATGTTTTGAACCCTCCAAAAGGTCTTCAAATCAGTCCTTTAAGTTTTCATATGTGGCTAAATGGTGGAGGAAACTCAAGCCCTTAATGGTGTTTTTCTTTTAGCAATGTTTGAATCTGCAAGAAGTATTATTATTTGGCTTGGTGATTGTGCAAAGGTATAAGTTTTATATTTTTATAAGATAAGATTAATACATTTATTGATTTTATAAATTTTGACAGGTTATAGACAACTCCTCTTGGACTTGCTGGTGTTCAACCATACCGCAAATTAGGAAGACATCTTGTGAGTTCTTTTGGTATGTCAAATTGTCAAGTAAAGTCCTTGTATTTTGGCTTTTTTGCTAATATGAACCAATACTTTTTTGTTGTTTTTTTGAAATGTGTAGATTAAGACATCTCTTCAAGTTTTGAGACTACAACGAGAAACAGATAAGGTTATATCTGCAACGTTTTCTTTATAATGCTAAATGAAAGAAAATACCTTTTTTTGTTATAAAAGGTGATGGTGAAAAGACAAAGAACAGCCTTTCCTCCTAACTTTGTCCACTCTCTTGATGGGTCCCACATGATGATGATAGCCAATGCTTGTAAAGAGGCTGGCTTAAGTTTGCAGGTTCAAAATCATTATTATTTCATATATTTTATTTCTCCGTTTTTTTCCATTAAAAATATATAAATTAAAATCCCATTTCAACTCCGCTTGATTCAGCCATGAAAAACCCTAATTCTACTCTCCTTAGAAGTAAATGGAGTCCTATTGCAATACCCCATAGAACTATCCTTGAACCCCAAGGTCAAGATCTTGATTACATCAACATAACTCACAATCATCTTCTTCACTCTGATTGGGCTAAGCTAGATAAATTATTAACCAAATCTAATTCATTACGAGTGAAGCACATTCTGTTAAAGCTTCAAAACGACTACGTCATTTCCCTAAAATTCTTCAAATGGATTGAGCTTCACAACCCTAGTTTACTCACCCTCAAAACAAATTCCATCATCCTTGACATCCTCACCAAGAATCGTAAATTTGTGTCAGCTGAATCCATTTTAAAGAAGATCATCGGTTCTTGTTCTTGTGATGTAAACCACCATTCTAAGCTCTTCGATGCTGTTATTCACTCTTATCGAATGTGCGATTCCACACCTCGTGTGTTCGATGCCCTTTTCAAAATGTATGCACAGATGAAGTAGTTCAAAGAATGCAAGAAAATTATTTTGTCGTATGAAGGAATACAGATTTCTTCCCACCATTGAATCATGCAACATGTATATGAGTTCACTGCTTAGTTTCAATCGAGCAGACATCGCGTTACAATTTTACAACCAAATGAGAAGATCCAAGATCACAATCAATGTGTTCAGTCTCAACATGCTGATGAATGCTTATGTTCAATTAGCGAAACTAGAGAATGCAGTCTAAGTGTTCGATGAAATGCAAGGTATGGGAATGAACCCTTTTGTCTCCTCCTACAATACATTGATCACTGCATACATCAACCAAGGCCTTTTAACAACCGCAATCAAGTTGAAACTTAAAATGGAGAAGAATGGAATCAGCCCAAATGTCGTAAGTTACAACACAATAATCCATGGATTCTGTAAGAATGGAAACTACATGATGCTTTTAAAGTTTTCCATGAAATGAAAAGGGTAAATGTGGATCCTAATATTGTAACTTACAACACATTAATCACTACATGTTCCCAATCAGGTAAAATCGAAAAGGGTAATCAGATTTTTTTGAAGAAATGATAAGAATCGGGGTCAAACCTGATATTTTGACTTATAACGCATTGTTGTTGGGACTTTGTAACGAAGGAAAAACAAAGAAAGCTGCTTATTTGGTTAAAGAACTTGATAAAAAGAAATTAGTACCAAATTCTTCAACATTTTCTGCCCTAATTAAAGCCCGATGACCTCGAAAGAACCCAGATCGTGGTTTTCAACTTTACAAAAGCATGGTGAAAAGTAATTGTCGTCCAAATGAAGATACTATGAAGATGTTGATCTTATCATTCTTGCAAACGGATGATTATGATGGTGCTTTTGGTGTTTTTAAAGAGATGATAAAGAGGCCTATTGGGCCTGATTTGGTTGTTTTGAGTGGGTTGTGTAATGGGTTTTCAAAAGCTTCGAAAGATAGATTGGTTATGGATCTATTAAGGAAGGTTGATAATGGGTGTTTTAGTTATGAAGGTTATGAGAAAGATAAAAGCATTATTTGTGACTCTAACAATGAAGGTAAAGAACTTGAAGAAAATGTGTAAGTTGATTTATTTAATCATGACAAAAATGAATCCGAATACAGAATGTGTGTGGGAGAAAATAATGCGTTATACTTCGTAATGTATATTCAATAAAGCTTTAAAAGTTTTTGATGTATATCCAATTAAACTTTGATATTTGTGCTATCTATATCTATACTTCTATACATCTATATCTATAACTATATCTATACATCTATACAATTATATAAAGCATATTGCTTCTTTCTTGAATTTTTAAGAGGCATAAGTTTCACTTCTTAATGTACACATCAACTTTGTATATAAACTACTATATGGCCATGATCCTTAAAGTAATCACTCCAATCTATATAGCTTGCTAAGCTTAACTCTATAAATAGTTTTGAAGTAGCAGAAATAAAGATTGTGTAAATAGCAATTGACTTTTTTATTATTTTATTTTCAAAAGTTTATGTTTATATTCTACCATATACACAAAGTACAATGCTATTTATGGTAGCATTTGTTTTAGATACGAAAGAGGAATGGGTCGTGAAGGTTGTACAATCATGGTTGTAGTTTTCTTGGTCTTGATAGATTTGTACTCTATATATTAAAGATAACAATATTTTGCAAATTTTAGATTTATTTCACAATAAATTATTAGTTTTATCGAAATTGGTAGTTATTACTTGTATAATCTTGATGTATAAAGTATATATGTTGTTTTATTTAGATCACACCCCATTTTGAACACATATGTGTTCTTTTATTTATATGTGTTATTGTGAGGAGGTTTAAAAATTATATTAGTTGATTATTTGAGACTTCAGAGCTCTTAGCTGTTGAGGATATTGATAGTTAAATAATTAGTAACTTCGATTTTGTAATCTTTCATGCATTTGGTTCATAGGAAATTGAATAATTGAATGTAATTTAACTTGTTCAATGTTTCTAACTATATAAAATTACGTATTTTATTTTGTTTGGGTAGATGGACTTCCATTTATCCTTTCATTTTATTGATTTAAAAGAAACGTTGGCTTAGAAATTAAATATTAAACATCTTTGATCTTTTTTTTGAAACAACAATGAAATCTTTGTTGATGTTTGGATTTATTGTGATAAATAAATAATAAGATTAGAATTTATTAATAGATAAAAGATATAGCATCTTAATTACTTTTCATTTTTAATTATTTTTTTTATCAAAGAAAAAAAAATAATAAGTTAAATATTTTGTGGAACACCTTTGTTAATTTTATTAAAATAGTCAATTTAAGCTTTATAAAAATAAATGAAATCTATCGATGGGTAGAGATCCTTACACGGTAACTTTTCCTTATAGACAAACTATTTATGTTTTATTAAGTTGTGCAATACAAATATTTAAAACGTAAAAAACAATATTTAAAACATACAACTTAATAGAAATGCACAATAATAACTATTAGTTATCAGCGTTTTTATTTAAATGACTAATGTCTAAGAATAAAAAAACTTAAAGCGTTATATAAATTGAAATTTAAGTATAAATATAATGAACATATAAAAATCGATATTCACAATAATGACTACTATTAATTTATATGATTTTTGAAAAACTGACTATCATTTTTATTAACTTAGAAAATAATTTCAAAACCATAAACCACAAAAAATATTTTTTTTAAAAAAATAAGTAGATTGTTTTTAATCGTTTAAACTTTCCTATTTTTTATAATTTCAAAATACTAAGTCATTTTTTTATTCTCTTATCATGGGTCAGAAGACTATAATAGGTTTTCTGTCACCATTATTTTTATTGTCAAATTGAGCACCCCTAAATATAAAACAATAGTATATAATTTGTGAAGTAATGAAGGGGGCAAAATTGGCATTAAAAGAAACTTAATTTGTGAAGGTATCTAAGGTTAGGAAAGATAGGATAAAGTTCAATGTCTAGGGACTAATCCTTAAAAATTCGTCCATAACCCCTCAACAAGAAAAAGTTCAAAGCCTAGGACCAAATTGGCATTACAAGAAACCTAATTTGTGAAGATACCTCCAAAAGTTTTTTTGCCACTGTTCTAGCCTTTACGCACAGATTAATGGAGTAATTTCAAAATCGATCCTTTGCATCGCTCGACAGCAGCATAGGAAAAAAAGGCGAGGTAGGTGGAGAAGGGAAGAACGAACTGAGAAGAGAGGGGGGAAAGAAGGGTCTGCAAGTGTCGATTCTTGAAGGTGTGTTGAGGCTGCAAAATCAACTCATACAATCTGGTAGTTCCTTGCTTAAACTCGTCTTTTGATTTCATGTATCAATTGCTAGTGATTGGATTCAAGCAATCTCATTCTTCTTACTTCCAATCCTTGATATGTTATGTGATTAATCCCCAGCCACGTTTTGTGTGTTTTTGATGGGTGATGACTTTCAAAATATAGTTAAGAACACTCTCATATATGTGGTAATTGGTGAGTAAGGAATGGTTAGAATTGTAGAATAATTGTCTTTCTATTTTCTCTTTGGTATCTTCGTTCATGATTTCTTTTGCTCCAATTCTCATCGATTCTTGTGTGATGTTTTTCTATAAAAAGACCATGTTTCGAACCCTCCAAAAGGTCTTCAAAATAGTCCTTTAAGGTTTCATATCTGGTTTAATGGTAGAGGAAACTCAAGCCCTTAATGGTGTTTTTTCTTTTAGCAATGTTTGAATCTGCAAGAAGTATTATGAGTTGGCTTGGTGATTGTGCAAAGGTATAAATTTTATATTTTTATAAGATAAGATTAAAACGTTTATTGATTTTATAAGTTTTCACAGGTTATAGCAGTGAAAAACAATCTAGTACAATGGACAACTCCTCTTGGACTTCCTGTTGTTCAACCATACCGCAAATTAAGAAGACATCTTGTGAGTTCTTTTAGTATGTCAAATTGTCAAGTAAAGTCCCTATATTTTGGCTTTTTTGCTAATATGAACCAAAAAAAAATTGTTGTTTTTTTTAAATATGTAGATTAAGACATCTCTTCAAGTTTTGACACCACAACAAGAAATCGTTAAGGTTATACCTGCAACCTTTTCTTTATTATGCTAAATGCAAGAAAAATAACTTTTTTTGTTATAAAAGGTAATGGTGAAAAGACAAAGAACAGCCTTTCCTCCTCACTTTGTCCACTCTCTTGATGGGTCCCACATGGTGATGACAGTCGTTGCTTGTAAAAAGGCTGGCTTAAGTTTTGCAGGTTCAAAATCATTATTATTTCCTATATTTTATTTCTCCATTTTTTTCCATTAAAAATATATAAATTAAAATCCCATTTCAACTCTGCTTGATTCAGCCATGAAAAACCCTAATTCTACTTTCCTTAGAAGTAAATGGAGTCCTATTCCAATACCCCATAAAACTATCCTTGAACCCAAAGGTCAAGATCTTGATTACATCAACATACCTCACAGTCATCTTCTTCACTCTGATTGGGCTAAGCTAGATAAATTATTAACCAAATCTAATTCGTTACGAGTGAAGCACATTCTGTTAAAGCTTCAAAACAACTACGTCATTTCCCTAAAATTCTTCAAATGGATTGAGCTTCACAACCCTAGTTTACTCACCCTCGAAACAAATTCCATCATCCTCCACATCCTCACAAGAATCATAAATTTGTGTCAGTTGAATCCATTTTAAAAAAGATCATCGGTTCTTGTTCTTGTGATGTAAACCTCCATTCTAAGCTCTTCGATGCTGTTCTTCACTCTTATCAAATGTATGATTCCACTCATGTTTTCGATGCCCTTTTCAAAATATATGCACAGATGAAGCAGTTTAGGAATGCAACAGATACATTTTGTCGTATGAAGGAATACAGATTTCTTCCCACCATTGAATCATGTAACATGTATATGTGTTCACTACTTAATTTCAATCGAGCAGACATCGCATTACCATTTTACAACCAAATGAGAAGATCCAAGATCACAATCATTTTACAACATGGTGATGAATGCTTATGTTCAATTAGGGAAACTAGAGAATCCAGTCCAAGTGTTCGATGAAATGCAAGGTATAGGAATGAATCCTTTTGTCTCCTCCTAACAACCGCAATCAGGTTGAAACTTACAATGGAGAAGAATGGAATCAACCCAAATGCCATAACTTACAATACAATAATCCATGGATTCTGTAAAGAAGGGAAACTACATGATGCTTTTAAAGTTTTCCATGAAATGAAAAGGGTAAATGTGGATCCTAATACTGTAACTTAAAACACATTAATCACTGCATGTTCCCAGTCAGGTAAAATCGAAAAGGGTAATCATATTTTTGAAGAAATGATAAGAACCAGGGTCAAACCTGATATTTTGACTTATAACGCATTGTTTTTGGGACTTTGTAACAAAGGAAAAACCAAGAAAGTTGTTTATTTTGTTAAAGAACTTGATAAAAAGAAATTAGTACCAAGTTCTTCAACATTTTCTGCCCTAATTAAAGCCCAATGTGCTCGAAAGAACCCAGATCGTGGTTTTCAACTTGATAAAAGCATGGTGAAAAGTAATTTGTTTCCAAATGAAGATACTGTGAAGATGTTAATTTTATCATTCTTGCAAACGGATGATTATGATGGTGCTTTTGGTGTTTTTAAAGAGATGTTAGAGAGGCCTATTGGGCCTGATTTGGTTGTTTTGAGTGGGTTTTGTAAAGGGTTTTCAAAAGCTTTGAAAGATAGATTGGTTATGGATCTATTAAGCGAGGTTGGTAATGGGTGTTTTAGTTATGAACGTTATGAGAAAGTGAAAAGCATTATTTGTGACTCTAACAATGAAGGTGAAGAACTTGAAGAAAATGTGTAAGTTGATTTATTTAATCATGACAAAAATGAATCCGAATACAGAATGTGTGTGGGAGCAAATAATGCGTTATACTTCGTAATGTATATTCAATAAAGCTTTAAAAGTTTTTGATGTATATCGAATTAAACTTTTATATTTGTGCTATCCATATCTATACTTCCATACATCTATATCTATATCTATATCTATACATCTATGCAATTATATAAAGCA